GGGCAGAAGGAGGTGCTAAGCACTTCAAGCACTGCGAGAAGGTGCCTCACGGCCGACCACCCGCGGAAGGAGACGGGCCGCCAGTGGCAGCGGCCGCTCGCAAGAGGCGCAAGCAGGAAGTCGCGGAGGCCGCCGCCCGGGCGCCGGCTGCGGCCGCCCTGGCCGCCCCCCCCCCAGAGCCTGAGTCGGGGGCTGGGGAGGGGCGAGGAGAGGAGAGCGGCAGTCGAGGTAGCCAGAGCGAGGAATGCCCACCCCCGTCATCAGGAGAGCTCGTCCGTCGGGCGCGTGCCGAGCGGGCGGCCGCCCGGCAGAGGAAGGCGGAGGCGGACCTGCTCAAAAACGCGGCCAGGCGCACGGGCGAGGGACAAGCGGGGCACGTCCGCCGCAGGGCGAGGACCCCTCCCGCGCCAGCAGAGGTCAAGCAGGAAGAGGTCTCAGAAGAGGAGCCCCTGACGGAGGCCACGCGGGCGGTCGGTCAGGCCTACCGTGCCCTCGCCCGGCGGGTGGATTTCCAGAGGACTGGGATCTGGTCCGCTCCTGAGGAAGAAGGCCGCCCCTCGGGGCAGGCCACCCGGGCGGAGACTCCAACCGTCCGCCCACGGCCTGCCCGAGAGCCACTCCCACAGCCGGAGGGCCGGGCCGACCGTGAGCCGCTCCCCCAGCCAGAAGGTCGGGCACCTCCCCTTGGGGGGTCGAGCGGGCCCGGCGGGCCGGCGGGGGCGCCGCGCGCCCTCTGGCGCGGGGCGGGGCGGAGCACGACCCGCTCAGGCCTGGCGGGCCAGCGCGCGCTGCCGAGGGGGCGAGGGGCCTCGAGTCGCCGGAGACCTACGCGGAGGAGGAGTCGGAAGGCGAAGAGGAGGAGGTCCCGACGCGCACGCGGGCGCGGGCTCCCGCCAGAGGCCCGGCGGGGCGCCGCGAGGAGGAGGAGGAGAGGACGCCGCCAAGGGCGGTGGCACGGACCGCCCGCGGGCCCACCGAGGGCCAGCCGGGCAGGCGCCCACGCACGCCGCGCCGCGCCGCCTCTCGGCGTGATGGAGGAGAGGAACGCGAGCGCGAGGAGGTGGTGCTGCAAGAGGCGCCGGCGGCTGGGCCTCCTGGGGACATCGGCCCGGAGGCGGTGGGCCGGTATCTGGCGGCGGCAGCGGGCAGCGGCCAGGGTAGTGAAGGGCTAGAGAGGCAGCTGAAGCGGATCGCCAGGGAGGACTCCAGGCGGGCTGGTGGGCGTGCGGATGCCGGTTACGCGCCGGAGCTCCAGAAGTTGGTGGACGCGGCAGCGGTGGCTTCGGTGGCAAAAGGGACGAAGGCGACCTACGGGGTGGAATGGAGGCAGTGGACGACTTTCTGTCGGATCCGCAGGAGACCGCCCATACTGCACGGTGAGACTCGCGTAGAGCGTCATCAGGATGAGGAAGAGCTGCTGCTTTTCATGGTGCACCTGTATAACAGCCTGAAGCGGTCGCACGGTACGATACGATCGAAGTTGCTGGGGATCCGCTCGCAGCACGTGATGTCGGGGGAGCCCGACCCTTTGGCGGGGAAGCCGCGGCTGTGGATGGCTCTGAATGGTATCGAGAACTGGCAGGGGCCAGGGAGGAGGAAGCTCCCAGTCACGATCAAGATGCTGAGGAGGATTCGAGACATGTTGAAGCCAGACACTTGCGCGGATGACGCGGCCCTGTACTTCTGCGTGATCTTCGCATTCTTCTTCATGATGCGGATCGGGGAGTACGCCCACTCGGGGCACTGGGATCTGAAGAAGGTCCTGACGGGACTGGACATCGCCCCGAAGTGCAAGGGCGAGCAGGTGAGCCACTTCGCCGCGGCGGATGAGGTAGTTTTGTGGTTCAAGTCGTCGAAGACCGACCAGAAAGGAGCTGGGCAGGCCAGGAATCACTACCGCTCGAACGACCCGTTCGGCATCTGCCCCGTATGGGCAGCGGAGTGCTACAACCGCTGGTTCCCGAGCCGCCTCACGGGCGAGGAGTCACATTTGCCGCTTGCGAGGTGGGAGGACGGCAGCCCGATGACGCGGGAGCGCATCCAGGGTTTGCTCCAGAAGGCGGCAGCGCTGGAGAGCTACCCGCCAGACAGGTTCAAGAGTCACTCGCTCCGCATCGGCGGGGCGACCGCCCTGTACCACTGCTTCCAAGACACAGAGCTGGTGAAGAGGTGGGGGCGGTGGAACAGCGGCGCCTTTCACCAGAACCTGTGGGAGGCAAACGAGGACGCAGCCGGTGTGTCGGAGGCAATGGCGAAGTCCGTCGCACCCCTGCACGTGGGATACAAGGCTTCGGCGGCCGGCGAAGGTATGGCGGCGGACGCGAAGGGAGGGCCGTCCCTCTGAGGGAGGGCGGCTGGAGGACTGGCCATCTGGACCAGATCGAAGACCGGACAACGTGAGGGCCAGCAAAGGCGAGGCCAGAAGTTTTGCGTCGAGGTGCGGCACCGCTGGAGAGGCCAGTGCTGGATTGCCCGCAGTCCAGAAGGGCGGTGGCCTGGGGGCAGCGGTGATCGGCAGGAGCGGCGGATGTGAGGAGCTCGAGGGCCGGGCCGTCCCGCCAGTGCGGTCCCCGAGGAGAGGTGGAGGAGGTTGTGCCGCGCGGCATGAGGAGCTTGAGGGCCGGGGCGTCCCGCCAGTGCGGTCCCCGAGGAGGCGTGGAGGAGGTCGTGCCGCGCGGCCTGAGGCGCCCAGTGTTGGGCCCCGTTCGGCAGCTACCGGCGCCGAGGGGGAGTGAGGGGTGGCCGGGGAGCCGCCAGCTTGGCGGCACAGCGGGCCTCAGCTGGACGTCAGCTGAGGCCAACTCGCACGCGCCTGCGATGCCAAAAGGTTTGCCCGCTGCCCGTGCCACCCAAACAGTGTTTTCGCTCTCGGCCCTGGTGCGCGAGTGCGCGAAGATCGCCGCGCCACGTCGGGCGCGCACTGTTTGGAGTCTGTGAGTCGGTGGGCGGGTGCATAGGCACTCTCTCACTTAAACGTGAGAGTTCGAGCGTGCGTAGAACGTAAGGTTTCAGGGAGCAAGTGCCTGGTGAGGGGGAAGGGTCCTCCTCTGTCCTGTGTCCCTTCCCCTCTCTGCGGCCCTTTTGGGGCTCAAGCTTTTCCTCGGGCTCCTCCTCCTCCTCCTCCTCCTCCTCCTCCTCCTC